TACAGGACACTTACAATGAACGTTTTAATGACATTAAAGACGCTACTTGCATGATACATTAAAACTCTTGAAGGTTACAAACACTTCAGGAAAGCGACGAGGGCTCGTAACTAGTCAGAGCAGTCGAAGAATTTCAAGTTTTTAATACGAGTTACTGAGTTATTCAATTTTTTATAAGAGTTACAAGTTATCAAAGCTTTCTGATAGCATTTTCTAAGTTTATAAAGTTCAGACTAGAAAAACAAATTTTGCAGAAGTGCCTTTCGAGCGAAGGTCACATCTGTCACGAGGTCAAATCTGGCATAAATCAACTTAGTCGGAAGTTTACAAACTTTACCAGAAGTTTCAGGAAAAAGTTTGCTGCACCGAGACGATAATTCTGAGTGATACATGCATGATGTATTCTGTATTAATAGTAAAATATTCAAGAAGGTTGTAAATTAGAATGTTGTGTAGGCAAACTTTATCAAACCCTTGCTTAGTTTTTAATTTAATGGCAGAGGTTGCTTGATGTTTATACTTAACTTAATATTTCATTGCATTAATAATTTAAAATTTTTAATTTAATTTAACTAGCCCCGATAAACTTTTTATTGAAATTCTACTTTTAGTTAGTGAGGGTGGATTGAGGAACAGCACAGCGCGTCAACCTCTAGAATTGATCGAAAAATTTTATTTGAATTATTATTTTTTTTGCATGTTGCATGTTCTGCTTTTGCATGTTGATTAAAATTCAAAGACATAATTTTATTATATTTACTCCAGTAAAACAGTAACCCAAATTGTCATTGAAAACTAACTGTCCATAAGAACGTAAAAATATTATGAAATACTTTGGGAGGATACCTTTTTGAGCCATATACTAGGGTGGGGTCCAGAAAATCAAAGTGATATAATTTCAAAATTAATTATTCGAATGAACCATAGAATATTATTATCACTAAAGTATTAATTTTTTATTAGTTTCGTCAATCACAATGCGGAAGGCATTTTCACTAAGATCCACTCAAAGTTTTAAAATGACAGACATTGTATTTATTTTAAATATATCTAATTTAAATCTTCTGCAATGCATAAATAAATAAATGCATAAATAAATACATAAATGCATAAATAAATGCATAAATAAATGCATAAATGCACAGGGCGAATTTGTCAAATTAATCGTCTAACCCGGCATAAGAGTAATTACTTTAAGGACGAAATCGCAGCGAATTCCCCAATTACAGCAGTCATTTTTGTTGAAGAGATTCATAAAAATGATCCCGGATCTCCAAAATCTTTTGAGTGCGAGAACAAATTGGCCTGATCCTCTTTTGAACTCCTTTCATGAGCTTGGTTTTCAGTGTCAAAGAATACAATGACACAGTCAATACTAATGTGTATCGTTTCAATGGATAATGATTTGAATCTTAGCGTTGGAAAATATGATTAGTCCATTTTAGTATGACGTTAAACTATGTTAACCTTCAAAATTGCCATGTCACGTAATTTTTTCATCTTATCTATGAATTTTGGAACATGACTTATGATTAGGTTCAATCGCTAATTAGCTTTTATCGAAGATTTGTGAGTTCTTTCAAAATATTGTTTGAAATGGAATCTTAGCTGTTTTCGTAAAGCTAAATCGTTAAACACTGCTTATGAATTAAAAAAAATTAAGTTATAATTTTTCAAACAGTGCTGCATAAATTTCTGTTTCCATCCTTACAGCCTTTGATAAACTCCAGCTTTGGATAATTGGCAGGAGAGACTTATGCAATCTAAATTGCACCACTGTTTCATATAACAGACACAATTAATATTGAACAGGCTGGGTTTGATCAGAAAACGCGCAATATTGCACCACTTTTTCATTTAACAAACACAAAGGATAAAAGAATGGGTTTTGGTCTTTGCTGAACACACTTTATTGCACCACTGTTCAGCGGGACATGGAATGGACGATTGCACGTCTTATGGTCAGGGGCTCAGGGCAAAACAAATAATCATTTCCCAATTGCTCACATGTTAGGGATCTTTTATCATTATATATGGGAGATTGGAATCAAGCACTTATATAGCCATTTCTTTACGCACAAAATAGTTATATCATTCTCGTTTCGAGGTTTGGGTGCTTGGAATCGAGCTTCTGTACGCACAAAATAATCGAGAGCTTAACTCCTGAACTTCTTCATGAGCGAGAAATATTTTCCTTTTATATTCTATTAATTATTATTAGATTTGGCACCAATTTGTCTTTAATTTGATTCCTCTCTTAGAAGTGAGAAGATACTCTTATTCAATATTATAAACAGTGTGAGGATGTATATTCCTAACAACTTATTTAAATATTTAACAATCTTAAAGGCTTGAATAAATTGTACAAAGCTGACTAATTATTTAGACTACCCTACAAGTTTTATTATTGAATTCGGCATAGGAATTTATCACAAACGTCTTCTTTTACGATATTGCTTCACTAGGCTTCAATTGACTGTCTTAATGACAACTAATAATTGGTCTTATTAACACTGAAAGTTATTAACACTCTAAATTTTCGATACGAAATCCAATTGAGACGTGGCAAAGACTTACTAATCAGTATCACAATATTCAGAAGACTGAATAATTTACATAATTTAAATATAGTGAATACCGTAAACACCAGGAAAATAATAATGGTGACATAATCTCGATTTATGTCGTACGAAACTAATTTTCCGATACTAACTCTTTCCGAGCTAGATTTCGAAGTTTGGAATTTCGGAATTTTAAGCACTTGGTGAGTAATTTTGGAACTGACGCTATTCAGTGAGTCAGTTTATTTATTTTTTACGTTTTGAAGTGTTTTGGGAGTGTTTTCAAAAGTCAGTTATTTTCCGAAATCACATAGTTTGTCATCATATATGTGCTTTTACTACTGTTATAGTGGTTTTCGCATATCCCAACAACTCTCATTACAATCTCTATATTTTTAAGAACCATTTTTAAGCTTATCCTTCCGACTTTTACAAAGTTTTTATTTGTTATGTGTTTACCATAACAAAGAATGCCGGGGGAGATTAAGTTGGCTGTTTTTTTTATCTTTTTTTTTGTTTATATTTTCTTACTTCCAATAGCACTCTTGATTGTTGGTGCTGAGTCACTCCCAAAACCAGGCGGGACAGCAATAACAAAAACAGCAGCAATAACAACAACATCGCTGAAGGATGCATACCTTATCTGAATCTGAGATTATAAAGCGAATTTTAAATTGCATTGTGAAATATTCAGAAAGAATCCGTTACAATGTATCGCTGGTCTTATATTAGTTATCCCTCAATTTGGAAAATTCTCCTTGAAAACAAATTAACCAACGCTAGCAAATAATTAAAAGCAGTAGTTTTTGAACCAATTGTAAACAAATTGAAATAGAATTAAATAATTATTGGCATTTGAGGTCAGGTTTCATACTTGACTTAAAAATTTTTTGTCATCAAGCTGAAAAACTGCATTGAAGAAATGCCACCCGATCTCACGTATAAAACCCAATAACAAACAAATTATTTCTACCTTGCGCTTAAACCTCAATCATCAGACAAAGCCTCTTGACACCTCCAGAATAGAATTTTTTTATTTATTTTTTATTATTTTATTTGAAATTTTTCGGGTGATGTGAAGTGCGGTCATCAAGATGCTGGTGACTTGCAGATTGCAGCGAAGGTCGTGACATTGCATAGGCTTAATAGTGATGCAATTTTTCATATGAATGTATTTTTAATTTTACAAACCATTCTTCGGTTTTCAGCGATGTTTCGTTATTCCGGAGTATGTAAAATGAAAATTATATCTTTCCAATTTTTTATTATGGCGTCTCCGATGATCAATGTACAAGCAAAGTTTAAAAATCTTTGGCTTTGCAAAGAAAATGACATTAAACGAAAAATATAAATATTATTATCGTTTATTCGCGTAATCGCTTTTCCTTTGTTTTCATTAAACTAAGCAAAAGCAAAATTCAATACAATGAACGCAACTTCCTTGCATACTCGTATATATAAGATTCCATCTTTCTTATCAAATTACGGATGGCAGCATTTAGTATGCTCCTAATTATTCTCTAAGTATCGATCATTTTATTAATGGGATATTAATCCATATATTTCTGAAATGTGCGCATTCATGTGAATTCGTTGCTTTGCATAATCATTAATAACGATTATTCATTTAAACTTCAGCGAACATTCCATACGCCACATAATGAGTATACTGTCGTAAACAACTCCACAAATATGGTCATAGATGAACTTGCAAATCAACTGATGATGCTTCGTATATTAAAAAAACCAATGCCCAATAACCGATGACTTCCTCATATCATCTTCACTGCCGCCAACCAATCAGAGTCGAGGAGATTCTATGCTGATTCTATGTTCAGTTTGGCGGTTACTCACTTCCATGGGGCCCGGGTCTCTATATAAGGCGAAGCGACATTAATAATTTGCCAGTGTCGTTCTGGACGTCTCAAGAGGAGCATACATCGCTCCTTTCTTTTTGGACATTTGAAAAAATTATCACAACTATACAATTTTAAATATATGGTTTGGATTTTATCGATTTTTTCTAGTTGTCGGTACTTTGCTTGCACAAAATAGAATCGACGACCGAATTACGCTATGTTCAAGAAATTCTGAATTGTTTATAGGCAATAATTCATATTAAATGAAATAAAAATATAGCGAAAAATGTAGCGCCCCTTAGGCATTTCCTAACATTCATTTCGCACAAGATGCATCTTTCATAACTGCTCGTGAAATGTTTCCCTGATATTAATATTAATATATATCTTTAATTAATATAAAAGATATATTAATCAGTAGTAGATATTAACAACCTAAAATGTGAAAATTGGTCTGCAAGCTAATTCTGCGTACCTACATTTGCTACCCATTGGCTCATCATCTTAATAAGTAATTAAATACCTGAAAAAAAACGACCATCTGACTAGTAATTTTTTTTACCATTTGTCACTGCATGATATATTTGTTGAGTATTTAACTTTTTTCCAGTCATTTACAGGAGATTTAAATTAATTGACAAAAATGAAGTTGATAGTAACGCTCATGGCGCTCTTCGCTGTGATGGCGACAACGACTTGTGCCTACGACCTTCTCGCCGGATACGGAGTTAAAAAAGTACGGTAATAAAATTACATGCATTCTTTTCCTAAAATTTGCTGTAAGTTCTCATAATAATTTGCACATCTCTTATTCATATCAGATTTCGGCTCCAATTGTAGTATGTAATAGTTAAGTATTGTAAAATGATTTTGTAATTGTTCCGAGCAATACCATAGCCTGAAATAAAATAAATTTTATATTTCTTCACCAACATTATTAAAGATATCCTGATAGCTTTATATCGGCTTATTTTTTCTATTATATTCTTTGTTATTATTTTTCGTATTCTTCTCTTCTAATTATCGATATATTTTCCTTCAGATACTGGAGTCGTGCATCGGCAGTGACGTAGTGATGAAATATTACGAGCGTGAATACGCGGCCAAAGCTCGATGCATGAACACCCCCATGACGTCACCCAAATCTACCATAAATCTACGGCAACCCGCTGCCAGATTCCCCGGTTTGGTGGGTTCAGCCCTTGGTGGGGGGAGTAAAAATCCTGATCCCGCTTCCCCACTTACCCCTCAGAGAGCTGATTCTCCCCTCACCCTTAGAGGCTTCGATTGGGGAAATTTCTTCGTGAGTTGGGGAATTTTTTCATGAGTTGGGGAATTTTTTCGCTCTGGATTCGTTCGAAATTTGTGTTCGGTTGCCGTTATTATCATAGCCACTTGATGATAGTTTTTTCAGAAACCAGAGTAAATGTAAAATATGTTATGCTTTTCTACTATAAATTTCCAAAATATGAGTTAATTAGCATGAAGTAGGAGGATGTAATTGATAAGAGAATTTCTGCAAACAATGTAATTTGAGTGCTAGTCGTTCATAATCAGGTTATTTTGAAATTAAAACGTTCCTTTAAGGTTTCCTCCATCAAACTATTTTATTTAAGATAATGAACTAATAACTCCATATGTTTCTTCACTCCCCTAGCAACAAGCTGGGGTGTCGGCGGGTGTGAGGACCCAATTCATCCCCATCCCTGTGTACGTCCCCTCGGGGCATAGCATCAGAAGCGTGAGTTAATTAATTAAATTTAATTAGTAATTAAACTCACAATTCCTATTATTTTAGATATATTGAAAACAGTAACCAATAAAACCTTCATTATACTTTACACGAATTTATTCATGCTCTATATTAAGCGGGTTTGTTGTACGAACATTCATTCCAACGTAAAAATTATTTCATGAATGGCTTTAGCTCATATTTCACACGAAACAGTGTGAACAATTCGATTATATTATTCGAAAAATTAAATTTAAATTTATTTATTTTTAAATTAAAGAATAATTATTAAAATAATTATTCAATTATTATTCGAATACTAATTGAAGTTCTACTAAAATCAAAGCCACCCACGCCTTATGTCGAATTTTATCTAAATCAAAATTCTCAGAATTTGCTCAGGTGCAAAATTTCAACATTTTTACGCTCTAAAATTAAAATATATTTCAAAATATCTTATTATTCATGTATATTATTATCATATGGTTATCCTGACATATTTATGCATTGAAAAATGCGTATGAACGATACGAGTAGAAAAAGAGTACGTCATTATTTGGAAAGCTTTACCTAATATGCATATATTCTTAAATTAATTATCCATGATATTGTGTAAATGTATCATGATATTGTGTAAATGTATCCTGATATTGTGTAAATGTATCCTGATATTGTGTAAATGTATCCTGATATTGTGTAAATGTATCCTGATATTGTGTAAATGCTGTCTCTTATACACATCTAGATGTGTATAAGAGACAGGTCGAGACTTGCGTGGGCTTACATGGGCAAGGTTATGAGACCCATAAATGAATTGGGATTACATTTTATAGGAGAAAAAATTTACGGAGGCAGAACTACAAGGCAAGCGAATATCCAGTGCTGGGGAATAATGCGATCAGTCCTACGTTCCAGGAGAGTCATTCCGGGGTAAAAATGCGGGCAGCGTGCCGTTCCACGCGCATCAGTCCGATGTAAAAATGCGGGCAATGCGGCGTTCCACGCGCATCAGTCCAATGTAAAAATGCGGGCAATGCGGCGTTCCACGCGCATCAGTCCGGTGTAAAAATCCTGATAGTGCGGCGTTCCTTGTGCGTTTCTTGCAGGTTTGTGTTTACTCAGCTGCATATTGATGAAGAAGGGGTGCCCATATATAAGTCCTCGCTCGGCCCTTATATCTGCCGGTCCATATGCAGGGATGTTACTTTCACGACAACCATTGAGGGCTTTACGACCACAACCGAGCTGAGCCCCTAGCTTTTCATTTGACTTGTGAATGCAAATATTAGGTTGATGCATGTAACACTTAATTTTCATATGTGTCACTTCTAGAATCAATCTTAATCGTTAGATTTTTTTAACGATTCTATTACGCTACCTAAAACTCGACGTTTTTTCCGCTTGTTTCCGTTAGAAAATTTGAATTACCTGGGATGACCTCTGAAACACGTGTCCACGACGTCACGAACCCTGCTCATATGTNTGGTAGGGCCACGTGAGCGATGGTGAAACATTTTATTGCTAAATTTTTTAGTTAGATTACGTAAGTGATGGTTGATTCTTTTTATTGCATCATTTTTGCGAAGCTAACGCGGTATTTACTTCATTGAAAGGCTAACGCGGGAAATACTTCATTGAAAAGTTAATACTAAAATTTATTTATTAATGAATATTAATTCAAGTAGTAGTAATATAAATTAATATTAATTAAAATAATTAATATTTAATTCAAGTAGGCTAACAATTAATTTTTATTGAAAGGTGAATGCGGAAGGCGAGCTTCAGTTCTCGAAGCTGGACCAAGAAATCAGAGCGTTGAACCTGGACTCAGCCCTCAAGGAAGATTTACTTGAGTCTCTGCAAGAATGCCAACAAGTTGCGGTAATTACTTTCTGGGATTAATATATGAATTTTAACTTGTATAGAATGATAATAAAGTTAAAGAATCTAATTGAGTTTACGCAATTTTTCTAGACTGTTGACAGTTACAAAGTAATCACGGTAAATTTTAAAACAGATTATTAATACCTATATTGTTAAAGCTTTCTGCTTTTGTTTCGTAAGCCTTTACATACGTGTCAAAATTTATGATATAAATAAATTTCTATGTTTTCGAAAGAAACAAGTTGATATTCTCATAGATGATCACTTGATCATTGGTCTGTTAGCTTTGCATAATTTCTCTATTTAAGGGCAATTATTTTTAGTGTGGATGAAATTTATTATTTTATATATCAGTTATTTTTATCAGAATTCGTTTTATTTCATACTCATTGTTCATGTTACACATGAGGCAAAAACATCATATCATAATATTTAAGGACATTTATTTTTTTGTGGATGAAATTTGTTATATTATATATCAGTTATTTTTCTATCAGAATCCGTTTTATTTCATACTCATTGTTCATGTAACACATGAGGCAAAAACGCCCATCATTCCATGATTATTGATAACGAAATATGCCAAGATGAGTTACCCAACATCTCTTTTTAGCGCATTCTCTCATTTATGGACAAAATGCACTATTGTGCTCGCCATGTCCGTCTGTCTGTCCGTCTGTCTGTCTGTCCGTCCGAGACCTCAAGTTTTCGTCGACGAGAAAATGCGCTCTCTGTCACTCACTGCAGTGAGTACCGAGTTATATTTTTTTCAATTCTGCAGACATGCATCCCGACTTCATCAGTGCGTGCCCCTCTAACTCCATCCTTCATTCGGGCGAAGAGTTTCGAGAAATGCTTCCTGCGCATGAAATTGTACGCCTGCCTCAAAAAAGACCTCAGGACCAAGAGGGATAAATTTGACCTGGCAGGCTTAGGTGATTCTCTCCAAGGAGCCGACGACGATGAAAAAATGCTCGCCATTCTTTGGGCTTCTGCTGCTCTTGAGCCAAGCGACATGTTCTGAAGCCACGCGATCGGTGGGGTGAAAATAGACTCGGGGAACAATGGCTTCATTTATTCGTGGGGAAGTGACGATAAAAACGAAGATATCACTGGGTTGTTCCTGGGGATAAACCTTTCTCCGGGATTTGCTTTCGGAGAAGTTTATGGCGTACCTAAGTCTGGGAGTAATGAAGAAATTAGGTCCACAGTGGGGAAGTGATGATAAAAACGAAGATATCACTGGGTTGTTCCTGGGGATAAACCTTTCTCCGGGAATTGCTGTCGGAGAAGTTTATGGCGTATCTAAGTCTGGGAGTAATGTAGAAATTAGGTCCACTGAGACTACAATGTCCGCGCAATCTTCAGATTTAGAAGAAGGAAAAGTAAAAAAAATTACATCTACGAAAAGCTTTGTTTCCAATACTGATGTACATCAAAACTTGAAAACACAAGAAAATAAAGAAATAATTGATTTTATCCAATCCCTCCAACCCACCGATCATTCAAAGGAAACTAAAACCGACACGTCTCTGAGAGTGATGTACGAATCTGGATTATTTAATCTCAATTCGAACAAAACTGGATTAGAAGATATTCATTTTGATGCAAGGAAGAAGTGCTGTATTGAGGACCTCTGCCCTGAAGAATGCTATGAAGGATCAAAGCAAACCTACCATAATATTACAATATCACGAGGGTTAAATATGATCAAGTTTCTAATCAAAGGCAACATCGATGCGATAACCGGGACTGGCAGACTGGGCTCCTCGGTCAACAACACTTGGAATGATATCAATGATTTGACTAATTTCTTGTTCCATTTTCGTCCAAAAAGCATGACTCCGCATCTCGGAAATGAATCAAAAAGGGAACCCGTTGCGAATTTGACTGCAGTTAACAAACAACAACTGGTCCCTCTTTTGGGAATTCAATTTGAGAGCACCGTACCCCAGGAGAAATTGTCAAAAGGAGACCAAATGTTGGGAATAACTGACCAACATTTGTTGGGAAAATATGACACCGATACTTCCAGATCAAACTTGAACAATTCAGAAGTGGAAGCCATTAGGGAAATCTTTAATGATTTCATATCTTTCTTTGAAAGGCGGAGCAACCCAGACGAAGCAAAAAAGTTAAAGGAGAAACCGGCTTCCTCGGAACTTCTTGACATAGAAACTGAGTGGAAAAAGACACCGACTTCTTCAGACAACTTGGAACCTGCAAAAAGTTCTCAAGACAATTTTGCTGCAGAAAATTTCATCTCAATGAGTGGTGCAATTGAAAACATTCCCGTCACGGAAATTCCAATAATTGAAATCCAGGATGAAAGAATCGATTCCCAAAAAGATGAGGGAGTAACCGGAAGTTATTTTACAGTCACCATGTCGAACAATATTAGTGATTTCGAAAACACAAATACTCCAAAAACAGATGATGAAATTCTTGTACATGAAAATACTACAATCGGAAACCCCATGACTGTGTCCAGTTCCACCAGCCGACCAAACTCGGTTCTTCTGTATACAGAAATTAATTTAGTTAACACAGACGTCCATGGAATAGATTCCGAAATCAATTACGGAACTACAGAAGTTTTTGACGTTGCCACTGAAAACAATTACGATACCGAATTGAAACGGCTTCAAGAAACCACTGAAGTTGGAGTAACAGGGAAAATTTGAAATATCTTTTGCAGTTTCGGCGCTACAGATGAGATACCCACGCAAAAATATTACTTCATTGATAATGAAGATGAATGAAATGATAAATTCATTTTGTGTTTGTATCTGCATAATGAATTTAAACCTGTCCACGTACCGGGCCTGCACTTGATGATCGGAATATTTCGTAACAGGGAATTTAGTTAAATAATTATATCAATAATCGATATTATTGCATGAAGAGTTGTATAATGTGTTCAAATAACAGGCTCTGATCCTTATTCTGCTGTCATTAACGCAGAATGAATTTATTTGCTGGTAAATTAAATGTTCTTTTGGAAAATGTTTTCAAACCCTAAATGAAATATAGTCAGATTTTTTATTGCTTCTGTACCCACTACCACCAAAAATTATATTTATTGACTATATGTCACCCGGCACAGTTTATACGCAGTATCGAAATATGATGAGATGGATGAGTCATCTATTGAATATTGAAAAAGGAGCAAAACTGAATGCTAATACATTAAGATGATACTAATATAAATATAAAACATCGTCGCTTTATTTGATGTTTACGTTTATCGTAGCACTGTAAAAAAATTGAAGTCCAAGATACAAATGTAGCGACTCGATGATTGCAAATTGTTGCAAATTACGCGATAAATATTGCAGTTCGCAGCTTATAAGGGATACAAGTGAACGAATATAGTTTGTAGCATAGAACTTTTACAAGTGAACGATCATAGTTTGTAGCATAGAACTTTTACAAGTGAACGATTATAGTTTGTAGCATTGAACTGTTCCAAGTGAACGATTATAGTTTGTAGTATAGAACTGTTACAACTAAACGATTATAGTTTGTAGCATAGAACTTTTACAAGTGAACGATAATAGTTTGTAGCATAGAACTTTTACAATTAAACGATCATAGTTTGTAGCATAGAACTGTTACAAGTAAACGATTATAGTTTGTAGCATAGAACTGTCACAAGTGACGATCATAGTTTGTATAGCATAGAACTGTTACCAGTGAACGATCATAGTTTGTAGCATAGAACTGTTACAAGTGAACAATCTATTTTCCAATTGTGCACATGCGAACAATCGGTCCTGATAAAGGAGCTGCCTAACAACTTGCCTGTCGCCAGACAACAACAATGAAAGGCCCTTCATTTATCTATGCACATTGAGAGCGACTCAAGACAAAGCGATGTAACTGCAAAAGGAAGTGCGACGTCTTTGAAGCGAACAGAACGCAGTTTAATCCGCTAAAAATTGTAATTGAAATGCACATGTCAGTTGAAGATTATATCAACAGTGCTCGAGTTCGAGGGTAAAATTCTTGTTTCGAAAATTTTTATCTAGAAGTAAATTTAAAGCAAGCACACGTGTGATTAAGTAATTAATTCAAACAGAGCTATTTTGTACTTAACATATTGCAGACGAATGAGATATCGATGATTAAATGTAAAGTTCAAAAATAATGATATAAGTGAAGAAAACACAAAATATTCTGGATTTGATAACAAATTGGTGAGTATAAATAGAAACAACGAAGTTGTAATCATTAGTTGTGTATTAGTGCAGGTTCTAGTGAAATTCATAAGGAAAAGAATTCTGGCTGAAAGTAAACCTAAATAAATGGAGAGACGTATGTTGTGTACGTGAAGGATACAACAGGAATTTAATTTGCATTCACATGTTTTTCTAAATTTGGTAAGGAAAGGAAGATTTGTACTTAATATATCAACGACTCCTTAGGGTACATGTATGAATTTCGACTAGTCTCATTGCTTCAAAAAAGTTTATGAAGAATGATATATCAGATGGAGAATTGCGTATAAAAATATGTATATTATGACATAATTATTAATTATTGCTCTCCACTCAAGCTTGCCATATTGGAGGAGTAAATTCACGAATACTAATAATTGCTTGTAAAATGACTTCGCTAACAAGAAATATTCTGACTTTAATTACGCGACCTGAGATCAGGTGCCATTGAATATTAAAAATTATGTAGGATTTATGACTTTATTAAAGTGGCCAAGTGCAACAAAAGAGTTGAATTATGAATAATTCAATGAATTGATAATTCTGTGAATAATTGATAATTTAGGCGGCCTTGACCGTCAATCCATGTACCAGGATTCTAATTCAGCCATGACTTTGCAGATGATGGTTGCGTGTAGATTTTGTTAGGTATTAAAAAATTCTTTCTTTTTAGCGCATTTTCTCATTTATGGAAAAAATGCACTATTGTGCTCGCCATGTCCGTCTGTCTGTCTGTCTGTCCGTCCGTCCATCCGTGACCTCAAGTTTTCGTCGACGAGAAAATGCGCTCTCTGTCACTCACTGCAGTGAGTACTGAGTTATATTTTTTCAAGTAATTGTGGGAATTGGAATTTCATTGATGTAAATGCATACTTTTTTAATGCATGTATTAGGGTGAAAAGAACTCTACATACTACAATGGAAATAATAATCTTTTCCAGAATAGTAGAAATTTTTTCTCGATTTGATATACCTTTTCTATTCCTGCATCTTGGTCTCAGCTTCCCATGAACATGGAAATTCAGATTGGTAATAATTTAAATAAAAAGTCTTCGAGCAATAAACAAAATTAATCATCCCGGTAAATATTTGCGGCAGGTTTTCCTAACCGAACGAAAAATTCTCTTCGAAATCATTTGTCACGATGACTCTTCAGTTTGCGATGAAGTAAACAAAGATCCAAACAACATTTCATCATAAATCATCAAATTTGTATAAAAATTAAAAATTCACTTGACCTTCATTGTCAAAGTCACGAACAACATCCTGATACGACATTATTCAGTACCGTGGAATTTTATTTTCATCAACTATGAGTTTATTTTTAAGTGTTTCTTGACAAATCAAAAGCTTGGAATTATTTTATATCAGCCAATGAGATTTTCGCTGCTAAAATTTTGACGAATCATGAAGTGATTCACGTTCTATAGTGCTGGGATTCCGCGGTTTTCCCTTCAGAGGCAAATAAAAAGACGAAATAAAATCCACATTTCTAATGACTTCATCAAAATATATGTCAAAGATTTTTCTTTGCGTATGTACGCTACAACTGAAGGTTGTAATTTTGACCACGGCAGCTATGGGTAATGCTGTAGACCGAAGACTATAAAACGACTCGTGTAAACTTAGATGATGGCATTACTCAACTGACAAGCACAGAGCACGCATGTTTTCTTGTCGTTCAGGCGAGTAAATAGAATATTTAGTAAGAGAGATTATTAATGTTTCCATGATTTATTAGTGATTTTATACTTATTGTAATTGTTTTAGTTATTAGTTATTGAATAAGACAATATCAGCATTTCGCTGATTCTTTACCACCCTGCAACGTCGCCGATTTCAGCCAGAATTTTCACAACTAGTGGCGGGTTTGAACCACCAAACTGGCTACTCCAATCTTGCTGTTCTTAACCACATTGCCACCCCTAGCTTTAGTATATTTTAGTATTCGATTTTCTTTCTTTGTCTGATTTTTAGCATCAACGTGCCCTTATAACACACTTGCGAGTAAATATTTTTTCATGAAAATCATATATAAAAACTGATCTCAATTCCACAGAACAAAATGACCGACGGCAAATCTCTCCTTCTGGTGGTGGTGGTGACGGTGATGGTATGTATAGTGAGCAGCAACGAAGTTTCTACATACGATCAACTGCTCGAAACGTACGCTAGCCTCAAGGTAATTAGATACCAAGGATACTAATGATACTAAGGATACTAATGACACTAAGGATACTAAGGATACTAAGTATACTAAAGATTCTAAGGATACTAAGGATACTAATGATACTAAGGATACTATATATAAAGATCCTAAGGATACTTAGGATTCTAAGGGTACTAAGGATACTAAGGATACTAAGGATACTAAGGATACTAATGATACTCTGAGTTGCCATATTTTTTGCAGGTAAACATGGCATGTTTAACACCAGAGGCCGTGCAGCAATGGAAGAACAGAGTCTTCAAGAGTCTTGAATGGTGTGAAGAACTGACTCGAGAGACTCAGGAACAGACTCAGCTGTCTGACTCTGTATTCCTGATTCAACCAACTGACTGGAACAGGATATTCGTAAGGAAATTTACAAAATTTATGAATAATATCACGATTCTAATTTATTGTATTTGTTTCATAATATAATTTCGCGTGGATGTTCATTTACTTGTTGAGCGATAATTATGCCTTATTCCTAAATCAAAATTACAGATAACCATTGATATGATTACCTATTTAAATTTTTTATTTTATATGCATTTAATTATTTATATGTTTAATTTTCGAATTTATTCGGACTTGCAATATTTTCCAGGCACAGTTCTTCTCGGTTGCTTTCCGTCAGGTATGGGATATTAAATATTAACAGAATTCTTTACGAAAATATTACAAACACTTGTGAAAATTATTCTATATGCAATGGAGTACAAAAATAAAATATGAAGAAATCCATATAACAATTACACTACTAGTATTTTAAATATCATACAATGGCGTAAATGATTTAGTGAAATGTTTTTTCAATTACATTAATTTAGAGTTAATTCTATTAAGGACAGATAACATTTGTAACAGCGTTCACCAATAGATTTTATTAAGGCAATGTTTAACGTTATATTTACGACACAATTAATGGACTCCGTTTGTTTAAACTCATAATTTAACTGATGTTTGTTTAGCGCAAAATAAATAATTTCTTCAAATATTTTTTCAATTAAACTAATTTAGAGTTAATTCATTGAGGAACCCGTAACATTTGTTACAGCGTTTACCAAAAGATTTTATCAAGGCAAAATTTAACGTTATACTTACGACTAAATTAATGGACTGCGTTTATTTAAACTGAAAGCTATTGCATTGAAAACGATGAACAGATATATAATATGATTTATGATTGTGATTTATGAAAAATCACATTTTTTTCACATTTTAAGATAAGGTTACAGTTTTTATTTGTTGTTTCCGTATATCAGAAACGGGGAGCGGAGTTCACTGCCGAGAAAATCAAGAATTTGAAAAAGAAGCTTTTACATAAAATTGAAACCTTCCGTTGCTTCATGCGGAAAATGCGGATTGTAAGTAAACAATTGAAAATATAATTAATCAATTAATCTTAATTGAATATTAGTGCACGTCATTTGAATTACTGCAACCCAATCGATGTCAGAATAATCTTGATTTTGAATTAACTTATGTTTGTAAATGTTTGTCTTAATGATAAATGCTTAAAAAATGAAAAGATTAGTTGAATATTTCATAATATGGATGAATTCAAATTTTTCCATGGAGATGAGCAGGATTTGAAATTTTAATAGCTTCTGTAGCTAATTTTGAAAATTTTGTATTAATATTCTTACAGTTTGATAGCTTTAGAGCAGCTATATTATCTAATATTAAAGACGTTAGGCGTCTGAAATTGTTCATGTTACCTGACAATGAGGAAAATGATGCAAAAATAGTTTTAATTTATTTATAAAAATATTATACCCATTAAAGTAGTAATGAAAACACGTGGAATTAAATCAACTCCTTATTTACAGACCGACAACAACAACAACAACAAGGTTTCAGTGATTTATAAAAATTTAATATCCGTTAAAGTAGTAATGAATTATATCAACTCCTTGATTACAGACCGACAACAACAACAAGGTTTCAGTATCCTCTTACACCGAAAACTTCCGTAATATCGGCTTACCGTCCGCACTTTTCAACAGCATCGCCGACGGGATCCTCGAATGTAAACACTTCTCGGTGCGTATGAAGTGCTGAGACTGAAGAGAAAACAGTGTAAAAATATATGAATGTGTTGTATAAAATGTTTCAGTGAAAGAGTTAGTAATTGTTTACACTGGTTTCTCACCCAACATACCTGGTTTGGTATAGAAATAGAAGATTGCTTCCAAGCTGCTTATCAAAGGTAAAACATTTGTACTGTGGTAAATTGCAAAGAAAAGAGCTTTTAATCAAATTAGAAATTCATGTTCGAATTTATTGCCTCCTATCATCGACTGAATGGAGAAAAAAAAACAAATAAATAGCAACGATGACTTCGGAGTTTTAGAGTGAAATTTTAATTGTGGTGTTGAAGGTCTGGGCTGAACAGAGTCTTGGCAACGATGACTTCGGAGTTTTGGAATAAATATTTTAATTATTGTAATGTTGAATAAGGGTTCCTGAGGTGCGTCTGGCTACGAGACATACCCTCGGATGAGGGGAAAGTTGCCGCGCTGCTCTGGGCTGAACAAAGTCTCGGCAACGAAGAATTAGGAGTTTTAGAATATAATGTTTATTGTAATGTCGATGGAGGGCCATGGGGGTGACCGTTATATATAATAGGCGACTTCACATATATATTGGAAATCGGTGTCTGGAATAGAGATATAGCTTATGTGAAAGGACATGATGGCCGATATCAATAGCCAAAAAATGGATGGATTATCTGGACGGTTCTGCTTGAGCATTTATCGTTAAGAATAATCGAATATTAATTGAACGTACTATTATTACGATTTTTAAGAAATTATTATTATTTTAAACCACCATGAAATTAATTGGTATTAAAATTATTTTTTTACAGAAATTATTACTGAGAGCAAATATTTTTATCCATAGAATGTCATTCGATGACCCTATGAACGAATGTAGTAGTTATCAATAATAAATAGTGCTGTTTGGTAATGATATAGAGATACGTTGAAAATATAGCATATAGCATGATTGAAAATATAGCATGATCTGTGTGCAGTCAGTGGCATCTTCTTAATACTGGAATTACCAAGGATATTATTGTTTCAGGTTTAACTACTAGTCTTAAGTAGTACACAGGAATATTTTTCTTGTAAGCAGTTTTTCAAACGGGCATTTATATTAGAAATTATGGTCTCCATTGAAGGCATTACAACATTATTTTCTTTTCTTTTCACACATTTTATAAAATTGAATGGACATTTATTCGACTCATTTCTGATTGAACCCTGAAAAATAACCTAATATAATATTATTGGACAGAGAGGGTCAATTTAATTCAGAACTGAACAGTTAGGCTATAAAAGAAGTAGATTAAAGAAAAAATATTGCTTAAATTTAACAATAACTCATAATTTTCAAATAACAAACAAAACCTTAAATACCAAATCAAATTCCTAACAAAATATAAAACTGAGATTCATTCTAAATCTCGATTGGTATTCAATGGATCATATTAAATCTAAACGCGAGCTAACCTATTGGGGCCCTAATTTTGTTCTGTTGTAAAATGGAATAAATTTTCATCTCAATTTTTTCATCTCAAGACTACACGTGTCTTTGAAGTTGCTTTTTTGATGCTCTCGGCGACAGTGAATGTAGATTTTTCCGACAGATTTTTGCGAGTTCAATCACTTGAGAGGCCATCTTTGAGGATTTTGGAAAAACCTATAACGCGTTCAGTCTTTCAGTCTTTAGGGACTCGGTAAGACCTATAACAAGTTTAGTCTTAGGGGAAGTTTGGTAAGGCCTATAACAAGTTTAGTCTTAGGGGGAGTTAGGTAAGAAATATAACAAGTTTAGTCATTAGCGAGCAATAGGGAAGACCTATAACTAACATAGTCTTTAATGAGCAATACGGAAGACCTATAACAAAGATAGTCTTGAAGGAAGTATTGGGAAGACCTATAGCAAGAGTAGTCTTGAATGGGCATTAGGGAAAGCCTGTAACAAGTGCAGTCATGATGAATGAAAATTTATCAATGGAGCCCTCTAAAAAAGCCTCAGACCTGCTAACAATAGTGTAACGACTTTAATATTTGCTGTGCCCTTGTCGAGTTAATTGTTCATATTGTTCGAACTTACAGTACTATGATACTGTGCACTTCAGACTTGCATTGTACATGGTATAAAAATTAAAAGATATTGTGAGTCTTAAAACGATAGTGCTATGTACCTCAGGCCCATTTTGTCTCTTCAGAAGCATTTTTACAACATTGTAAGCATTGTAAGGTTTTTATCAGTATGGTGTCATGTACCAATGTAATATAGAGCTTTTTTGCTTCAGGCAATATCCATCACTTTTAAACAATATTGTAAACATCGATGTATAAGTTCACTCATGTTGGCACTTTTTTCAATATGTTGTTACAATTTTTTTACAATTGTAACAACACTTATGTTGTTACAATTTTTATGTAGTAACATGCAACAAGGGCTTTAATGTTGTCCCTCAAACGATGTTTCTTAAAACATTCGACATTCATGAGTGGCCAACATTTAAAATAATGTGTACATTTTATTTAATTACTCTGTACATTGTATTCAAAAAGTTCATACAGATATGAATAATTCAACAGCAACAATGTATTGTGAAGAAGCAAACCACATTATATAGACAAATGTTTAGAGACTTTCACAGTTTTCAGGTACATCTAAGGCCATATAAAATAACCATCCAAAGAATTGTACATGCATTAAAAGTTAAAACTTTCGAAACATTGTAGTAATAAGCGAGTCATAAACAACATGTCGTTAAATGTCATTTCCGTTAACGAATGCGTTTTGTTTATTTAGTATTTCCAATATTTTTTTAATATCATGCTGCGTGTATTGAAATGCACATCAGCAATATCGCAATGTTAAAATAATATCAAAGAGCGAATATCATCAACAGCAGGGAGTCGACAGCTATTGTTTGCAGTTTAAACAAGAATTTTTTTCCTGATACAAAAATATAATTCATCTGAAGGTTGCAAAGAAGCAACTATTGTCTGTTGGTTGTTACTACTACTGAATGTCGATTATACGTAAATTATATACAAATTTTAGATTCTGATTACTTATGTGTGTCTGCTGCTCTTCAACCAGCAACACTGTAATTTTCATGAAAAATACTAGTGTTTGGGCACTACTACTTACACTACAAGTGTTTGTTTAGGCACAACGACCAGCGTTTGTTGCTCTGAAGCCACCAACGTTTGATAGTCGCGTTCAATGCACAAGTGTTTGATTGTGGCGTATATGGCACCAGCGTTTGTTTGTTGCACGACAACCACCAGCGTTTGATGGTTAAACACTCACGCCAATCACTCGCCTCGTCGCACGCCTGACAAACACTGCGCTATTAATACCGTCCCTTGACGGCCGCGGTAGACAAACATCACTTAAGCACGTATCTGAATAATGCAGTAATTGATAATTGTTGTAATTACTGCAATTGAAAACTACTTTTTCCATTAAATCATCCGTAATGATGAGTTGTGTATAATTTATATTCCATATATTCTATAATATCGCCAGCCAATCATCTGCAGAAACATATAGAACGACATTCGCATTTTTATCCCGTTCATATTTTAGTTATTTCGTGTTATCACTGAAATCTTTTGTTACGGTGGATTTTATTTATAACATATCTCTTAATAACTCAATACCCAAGAGATCGCTAAAGGAAAAACAAATTTCTAACACATTCATAAAGTTCAAAATTAAACGGAATACAGAACGAAAATTTATTATTGTATTGTCAAAAACGCAATTTAAAGTTGAAAAATAATATCGTTAGATTTCTCCGTCGTAAATAAATTCAAATTCACGTGGAAAATAATATTTATTGCGTAATCTCAAGCTCAGATTTTCTCACAATGCATTTTTTGCCTTCGAATAAATTTTGCAGATTTTTTTAATGATGATTATCATGGATACCGACAAAGCCTCTAACTTTTAAACTAAAACATCAAAAATTTAATATTCGTATACGCGTTCTTAACACACAGTTTTAGGACCTGTTTGTCCAATAACATTGCACCCCATTTTTGTCTAAGCCTCACTCTAGGCCTAATTAACAATTACGCAAGGTATCCCAACATCCGTTGTTTACCGCAGTATCTCGTTAAGTTTCTCATTTACTTCCACCTTGCTCCCCCCGGGATGCAATCTCCCCAATTAGCTCATTAATTACTTCACTTCCCCCATCACAGAAAATCCCCCACGCCCCCTAATAAATGGATATTCTGTCAGGGTGAGTAAATCTTCTCTGATTAATTGCCTGTCCGTGCCGATAAACGATTGCTTGTCTCGCCCAAAACACGTGCATTCCGTAAATTACTTTTAATTCGATTTTTACAGATTACTTTTTGAACTTCAGATGCAGGGAAACTTAGATGAACATCAGAGCTTTGAAATCTAATTTTAAATTTGGTCGCTCTTTATCGTATTCTTTACTCATTATTTTGTTTTAACCAGCCTCAAAATGAAGTACAAATTTTATTATTTGCTTGTTCACTAATTATAAAAGTATCAAGATTAAAGCATGAAGTTAGCAAATGGAGTCCTCATATAATATTACGTTTTAAATATAATTAATGATGGAGGTGCCAATACGGAAAATTTTGGCGCTGTGCAAAAAATTTTGTCTAAAATTGCAATGTGTTCTGGTATTCATATTGCAATGTACAGCTTGAGTGACACAAATATTCTCTATCTTATTATTAGTTGTAGCTATTTACGTACAATAGTCTTTGTATTCAAAAATAAGCTGCCAAGTAGTAGTGAGATTTCTAGGTACGGCCGTTTATTGTTATGTAATGAAGTTGTATCAGAAAATTGTAGTTTATTGTTATGTAATGAAGTTATATTAGAAAATTGTAGGAGTGATTCAACCAGAATCTTCCTACCGGAATTAGTATAACTCAGTCATTATAATTAAAAATGAAAATTCCACATTGTGATGATATGTTGCTGCAATATTTTTTTAAATAGTTGGTAAACTGTGTATGAAACATCCTAACTATTTTAAGTCTTAGACTGACTGGGGAATTTAGGCTGAGCATTGATTACATTTGGAATTCATTCACAAACCGTTAGCTAATCAAAATTGTACGGAAAAATTGTCTTAGCTGAATAAAATATTAATTTGAAGTGTTACTGAACTGAATTAGGTATTCTGAGAGTGTAGATATTTCATATTTCATAAATCTGTTCACTTGAGAAATGCTCGTCGCATTTAAGCTTAGCTGCATTAAAACCATTTTGGTAGTTAGATTAAATGATTCTGCAATTAGATATTATAGAAGAAATAATATTTTTCTAAAGCTTACGTCATGATTCACGGCAAAGTTGTTAGTAATATTTTTGGTTCTGTTTTTGTTATTAGTTTTTTTAGATCCAAGA